CAACAGTGGGAGGGCTTCTAATGTCCTGGCCCCACTGGTGGACCTCCTGATGGCACCTGGTATTTTTGGCCACTGTGTGACAGAGTGTTGGACTGGATGGGCCTTTGGCCTAATCCAACATTGGCGTCTCTTATGTTCTTATGTTCTTAATGTGTAAATTTCGCTCCTGTGTTTCTTTGTTCTTCTCCTCTTCTTCTGACCTCTAATAATTGCTGCTGGTCCTCCTTCCCCCTCCCCCCCTTCCCTCGTGTTGCCTTTTAGATTCTAAGCCAGGAGGCAGGGCTTCTGTGTATTAAAAAGGATTTCCTTTTTTAAAAGACAATGTTTTGAACAACATCTTTGTCATTCAGACACTTTAACAACCACCACCATTGTCCACAACAATATTTTTGTTATAATTTTCTCCCTATGCTGGGGGGGGGGGAGAAACAATCCTTATAACAATGAAACACTAACACTGCTCTGCATACCAGCACTAGAGATCTCATTAGCACTGTGGCCAAGCCTGCATTAGCCTATAAAACCTGAACAGCAAGTATACCCTTAAATAAGCACCTAGTGGGTGAAACATACAGAGGAGAAAAACAGGAACCTTATTCTGGAGCACAGCTGTGAGGTGCAGATTGGTAGATGCTGACACTGTTGCGCTCTGAGGTAGGTTCATTAGCTGCTGCAGGATGCTGGCAACAGTCCCCAGTGGAAGATGATAGAGAATGAGAGAGAAGGGCCTCAATAGGCACGGTAGCACCTGGGAGCAAAGCAACAGTGGTATCATTTACTCAGGAATTAGAAGCATGCAACACACAGCACCAGCCCTGGAGTAACTCCTGGGGCCAACGGCCGGTTCCTGAGCATTTCTTGTTGAAGTGGCCAATGATACTCAACAGAAGGGACAAGAAGAAAGGCCTGAAATGTATGAGCCAAGGAGACAGCATCATGTTAAGGCTCGGAACTGTCAGCTAGGCCTCTGCGAAGTCCTGGCTGCCATGAGTGTGGGAGGGTGTGGCTCTGGAATGTCTACTTTCCATTCTGCTGTGCCTTCACTGGTTTTATTATATCTGTGACTTATGCTGTCTGCCCTTGAGTGCTCAGTGTAGTCCTTCTCTTGGGAAATGTGGCCCGTTACTTTGGCGGGCTCTTACCTGTTACCTGATTGGCTGGACGCCATCAGGGGACCCCCTTGAATAATGTATATCTGCTTGCTTTCCCCCAGTTCTAACATGAAGTAGTTAAGATATCTGCATACTCTCAATGTCTCAATAAATCTTTACTTCTTTGAATGAAAGTTGTTGGGAACTAATTGCTGCAGGAGTCTGACAGGAACTAACCAATTTATCCTGCCCAGCAAACACCAGTTATTCTGGCCAGAGATCTCAAGAGGTCTTCCATGATTCAGTATTGGTTACGCATTTTCAGAAACCAGAGAGGAATTGTTTGATTGCTTGTGTGGCATCTGGCTAAAGACAAAGAGCCAAGAAAAATCAGTCTTTTGACCATTTTAATAAGGAAATTTAAGGAGATTTTTGTTCCAAATCGTCTAAGCTTTGCAGAAGAACAACTCCACTCATGTGTGCTGAGGATAATATTTTTTGGTATTCACACTTGCAACCTCTGAGGAAACAACTGGACAAATTCTGCACTTTCATTTTGTCCTCTATTTTACACTACATTCACATGTCCCTTTCTAATCAGTTTCCCTTTAAGTTTTTTACGAGGTGCTTCCCTCACAGAAATTCTGCACTCTCTGTTCTATGCCTTCAGTAGCTCTGAAGTTAACCATAGTACAAAATCTATTAAAATGGCTCTGAAGCAACACAACACAAAATCTATTAAAATGGCTATCGCATATCATTTCAGCACCGAGCACCCATCTAAGTATGGGACTTAAGAGAAACCGCAAGTGTAGTCCCCCTTTCAAATGTATAAGAAAATCAAAGGGATTGTGCATTGCAAATACCATCCTAGTGGTCCTTTTAATATCTAATACAGGTATCCAAAATCATGCTTATGTTAGGTCTTCAAGGAACTGACTCTCAACAACAGTCTCTTGGCAGTGAGAGCCCCCTTAAACAAATATTTGCGCAACACTCCGTTGACCAAGGTCATGAACACTCCAGGGCCCCCTGCTAGCCCAAACGGCATCACTGGCTGAGCGGGGTGTTAAAGGCACTCCTTTGTCCATCCCCTTCCCTGATGTGCATCACTCAAGTCTGACGTGGTAAATCCTCAGCCAACAGGAGTAAAGAGATGGGGTAGAAGCTGGACACTGCATTCAGGCCCCGATAGTCCGTGCACCATCTCAACCCCCCATCTTTCTTCTTGTGGAAGAGTAAAGGAACAGCAAAAGGTGAAGCTGCCAGCCAGATGAGCCCCTGGGCCAGACTGTTATCAATGAACTTTTGCAACTCTTCCTTTTCAGCCAGGCTCATGGAACACAGTTTCCCCTTTGGCATTTTATGGCCCACTAGGATTTGAATAAGGGCTGTGATGGCTCAGAGGTTAAGACGCTGAGCTGCAGACTAGAAGGTCTGTAGTTCAGCAGTTCAAGACCCGAGTGCCGCGTAATGAAGTGAGCTCCCGTCTCTGGCCCCAGCTCCTGCCAACCTAGCAATTCAAAAGCAAGAAATTGCAAGTAGTAAATAGGTACCACTTCGGGGGGAAGGTGACAGTGTTCTGTGCACCTCGGCGTTTAGTCATGCTGGCCACATGACCACAGAGATGTCTTCGGACAGCACTGGCTCTCCGGTTTGGAAACGGAGATGAGCACCACCCCTAGAGTCGGATTTGACTAGCTTTTGAGCAAGGGGAACCTGTACCTTTCTAGGATTTCAATAGCACAGTGTCCCGGTGAGGGGGAAGCTCCTCCATCGCCCTCTCCTCAAATACTTTGGCCAAGTCTACATTCCGGGGGGATTTGGTTCGGCTCTTCCCAGGCCAGGCACACTCGCTCTGGCACCACCTGCAGTCCTCCCCCCACCTCCAGGTTCCAGCTATGCACTTTGCAGTGGGGGTCCAGAAACTGCAGGACTCCCACACCCCACTGGATAAAGGGGTCATGTGCTCTGAGCTAGGGGCTCCCCAACACCATCAGGAACTTTGCCGAGGAATTCACTACGAAAGACCCACCCCCACCGGTAGAGGAACCATATGGTACACACAGGGCTCCCCCTTCATGGCTTCCTGTCCACCTGGGAGACGACCAGGGGCTCCTTCACTTCTCGCAGTTTGGCTCCCAGCCCCATCACCAGTGCCGGGCTGATTAAGTCTCGGGTGCAGCCTGAGTCAATAAGAGCTCACACCCTGATGTGGGAGCTGAGGGAGGGATTAACCACAGCCACAGTGATGCAAAATAGGGGGGAGGAGGATCTCATTGATTCTGGTGCGGTAGAATCTCGGACCTGCCGCTTAGCACCCTTCACAGCAGGTCCCGACCTTTTCCCGCTGGCTGCTGAAGTTCTTCTTCGCTAGAGGAGACACTCGCCAACTCCTCTCCCCCTCCCCACTGGAGGGCTTTTGGTGGCTTGAGCTGGCCTCCGGGGGTTTTTCCCTTCTTCTTGGTCTCCTTGCGCTTCTCTTTCTTCGCCCTGCCAGAGTTCCCCTCGCGTGGGCAGTTGGCAGCGAAATGACCCGGAACCCCACACTTCAGGCAGAGTCCCTTCCGTATCCTCTGCTCCTGATCGCCCCCCCGACCCCTGGAGCTGGCCCCGGAATCGCTTCACCTCCCCGCTCAGTACCTTCCCTGTCGCCTTGGCCACATAAGTCTTGAACTCATCGGAGAACTCCCTGACAGACTGGCTCCCTTGCTTCAAGCCTCAGAGGTGGGTCCTGGCCTGCTCTAGGGGGTCTTCGTATTGTCAGTGCCCCTGCATGAATGCATCCACATCTCTCACTTCTGGGGCCCATACAGACCCACAAACCAGTCTGCAGCCCAGTCTCGTAGTTGTGACTCCAAATAGTCGACCCGGTGCTCGTCTGAGGTGAAAATGTGGTCCCACTCCCTCAGGAACGTCCGGACCTGGAGCACGAAGAACACCAGTTTCCCCGGGGTCCCGTCGAACGTGGCTTCGAGTGCACCTCTGTCAGGCCAGGACGTGGAGGCACCGGTTCCAGAGGAGCCTCACCACCCGGAGGTGGGGCCTCTTTTCCTCTCACCTGCAGTCCCAAACCTCAGACCTCCTGCTGTAGCACCTCTCTGATGGCATCTGTCATGGCTTCTAAGGCGGCTTGGGTGTTTTTGTGCAACTCTGTGATCTCCACCTGCAGGTCCTGATGGACATGTTTGACCTCAGTTTCTTCCAGCCAACGCCGCTCAGCTTCTGCTCTCGTGACCACGGGGTCATCGTGGAAGATCCTGGACGCCCTGTGGCAGTCTCCCTCCGACTGCCAGTGCCAGACACCCATGAGCCCCACAGAAGGGGTAGCCCAATCTAGGGCTTCCCACCAGTCCAGCCCAAACCGTGGCGGCTTTCATTTCATCCCCTTGTCCTCCTCCCCCTTAGGCCCCTTGGCAGGGTGGTCTTTGGGGTCGGGTGACTTTGGTGGGGACTTAGTTTCTTCTTCCTCACCTCCAATGGCCATCGATGTTGCGGTGCCTTGGGTCGAGGGAAAAATGAAGTTCTGACACTATGTCAGGTCTTGAAGGAACTCACTCTCAACAACACTCTCTTGGCAGTGATTTGTTTATTAAGAGATTTAAGAGGTTTCACGCGTGGACAAACCTGTCTCAGAATGGACGCCTTTGGTGCCAGTTCTTCAATTATACAGAATTCAAACACACACACCCCAGTGACCAGTCCAATCAGCCAAATCTATGGTTCACCATTAGCTCTCCTCCATCACCTGCAAGCCTAGGGTTACATTATGACATAGTGTCTGCAAGCAGTGTCTGGTACTCAAGGTGAAGGACGCATTCTTCCCATCATAGGCGGCAGGCCCTGCATAAACACAGTTTCAAGCTAGTGTGACTCTTAGCAAAGCATCTCCACTCACACACACACGCACACACACACTCCCCCCTCCCGATTCCCAGGGAAGAAGAAACAAGACAATGAACATACAGATACAGGCACCAAAGATAGTAAATCAGAAAATCCATGGCAAACGAGGGCCCATGTTTGACAGCTGAAAGGCAATAGTGCACACTGCAGAAAAAGAATTTTACTGCCCTTGTTAAAAATGTGGGGCATTTCTCATGGTTGTCAGACTTCCCACAGCATCAACGAAGTACACGCTTGTAGAAAGGTTTTACTTTATTTGAAGCTATAGGTGCATAGACAGGATCACTATTCAGAATGAGGGGGGAGCAAAGAGCATTCAAACTACTGAGGCCCAATTTGCTGGCCGGCAAATCCGTTATAAAATCCATAGAGATCACCCAGTTGGCCGGGTAGCCCCAGTTGGGCTGGTACCCCCTGCCCCTGCAGGGGCTGGGCCCCTGGCGCCCCATCCGCCGGTCGCATCCGCTCTAACGCCTCTTCGATGGTTTGCGTGACCAACTCCGGGATGGCTTGTATCATTTCTTCCAACGTGCGTTGCAATTGCCGAACCATTCGGTCAGTCGTCTCGACACGCTCCATCAGCCCCTCATCCGGGGACGCCCAGCCACTCCTGGCCTTCGATCGATCCATCACCCATGGTTGAACAATGGGTTCAAATTGAGATCCCAGGGGAGGCAGTCCTGGGCCCACCAAGCCTTTGTCATACAAACTGTCCCTCAAGGCAAACCCCAGGTGCGAATACGACTCTCTGGTAGTATCAGCATCATATTGGCTCCAGCTTTTACTGTCTCGGCCGCCGTGCCTCGGTCGGTACTTGGAGCCTTGAGGTGTCAGGAACAGGGACGCCGTGGACTTCTTCGGGATCGCCCCCCCACTTGGCACGGTTACCAGCTGCTGAGTAGTTACCAACACAGACGCCGTAGTCACTGGGGGTTCCTCCATTAAGTCCGGGTCTTCGGGTTCCTCTTTGTCGGGTTTAATTGGTTTCCCCTCTCCGTCACTCATATCGAGATCGATAGATATGCTGAGATGGGGAATGAAGGGATTCTGAACAGAATGTCAGACTTCCCACAGCATCAACGAAGTACACGCTTGTAGAAAGGTTTTACTTTATTTGAAGCTATAGGTGCATAGACAGGATCACTATTCAGAATGAGGGGGGGAGCAAAGAGCATGGCATGTTATAGTACATTCAAACTACTGAGGCCCAATTGTGGGGGTTCCCCCCCGCGCCATCGGGCCTGGGAGCAAAAGCCTCTAGGCAGCATATGTTATCTCTTTCTCACGGGTTTTTGTGAGAGCCTCCAGCAACTAACAAGCAGCGGCAACCACCTGTGGCCTTGAGAGATATAAACGTTACGGCAGGCTAAGCAATTACACGCATCAATATTTCTACATCTGAAAGTGAAAGCAAGCAAGCACATACAGAAAGAATATAACAAAACATTGGCAGCTTGCTGACAATGGTAAAGCAAACTTTTGAACATAATATTTGAGAACAGCAAAACCTGTCTCTTCAGTTGCATTTACCTCATCTTGAGCATCTTTCTTGATTAGAAAGGGCAAATTCCGGGCTGTTGCCATCAGTATGTCCGCTGCTTGCTCCGTGGACAGGAAGGGGAGGATCCGGGCAACAAGACGCTTTCCTTTCCGAATACACATGATCTGCACAAAAGGGTCATCACTCAGCCTGCCAGAACAAATCACACAATTTGTTAGGCAGAAATCAAGCACATGGCACTTCCCCTGTGGCACATGGCAGCAGGCATTCACACACAGTTGGAGTCTCTCTAAACCTGGGAGAGCCCTAAATCAACAGCTTTGCACAATGCTGTGTCTGTGGAGGGGAAGGGGAAGGAGTTTGTAAGCCCCTCTGAGACTCCGAGGGAAGGGCGGGGTGTACTGGGGAGGGGCAGCCGGTCCCATCACTTTGCATACCAAAAGCAAGGAGCGGACAGGGAGGGGGCAGAGGCTGCAGCTGGAGCACTTGCCAGAAGGCTGATAACAAGAATTTGACGTTCTTGCTGAGCAAGAAGAGAATGCATTTCCCCCCTAACTTTATTTTCCCCTCCCCAAAGTCAGGGACACCTGAGAGCCAGCCACCTGGGAGGAGCCGCTTCAGGAGCCCAGGGCAGGCTCTCGGTCTTCCCTTGCCGCATCTCTGTGCACACCAGCAGCTGCAGAGGCACCCCGGCTGCCCCAGCTTGGATCGTGACGCTGGAGAAGAACGTCTCTCCTCCTCTCCCCCCAGGACAAAGCCTGCCCTCGAGCAGAGTCTCAGTCGACAAGAAAAAAAGTTAGAAAAAAATACATTCCCTTCTTGCTCAGCATGGTTAAGAAGAAGAAGAAGAAGAAGAAGAAGAAGAAGAGATTGGATTTATACCCTTTTGCCCTTCACTACCCAAAGGTGTCTCAGAGCGGCTTACAAACTCCTTCCCCTTCCCCTCCCCACAACAGCCACCCTGTGAGGTCGGTGGGGCTGAGAGAGCTCTTGACAGAGATTGCTCTTTTTCAAGAACAGCTGTGCCAGAACTATGGCTTGCCCAAGGTCATCCAGCCAGGTGCAGGTGGAGGAGTGGGGAATCAAACCCGGCTCTGCCAGATTAGAGTCCGCGCACTGAACCACGACACCAAACTGGCTATTGTGCTGAGCAAGAAGAGAATGTATTTTTTTCTAGCTCTTCTCTTTTCAGTTGAGCCTTGCTTGAGGGCAGGGCTTTGCACTGGAGGAGAGGAGGAATGATCCCCCTTTCCCAGCGTCACAATCCAAGCCAGGCCGGCCACTTTGGGTGTTGTCCAGCTTGGGTAGAGAAAAGAACTGTGTCGCTATGTGCTGAGGGAAGGGAGGCGAGGCTGGCATGATTGCAGTTGTGGCGGCCCCCTACTTTCAGGGAGGCTGACAATGAAGTAAACTGCTACGGAGGAGACTGTTCCACCACACACTGAAGCCACAATCGGAGTGGCTCACCTGCTCGCTCCCCCAAGCAGCTTCCTGTCCCCTCCCTCGCAGGCTCAGAGGCCGGATAAAAGCCCTGGATGGGCCAGATCTGGCCCACAGGCCGTATGATTGACGCCTCTGGCTTAGAGGGAACACTGTTTGTATCCTACCACTCCCCTGAGCTACATTTCAACTGATGAAGCTTTCCTACAAACTGGAGCAAGTTTCTGCAGCCTAAGGTACAATACATGCCATGGCCTTGGAAGTAATTAGTCTAACAAAGCTTGCCGTAGTTTTTCCTTAAGAGACATCATCCATTCTGACTGTTTCCACTCTCTTGGAAAACTCTTTCCACAGGCATCACAGTATTCGTGATGGAGCAAAACAGAACACATTCTCAACAAACATGAGTCCCTCCAGTTCTGAGTACAGTAACAGGCAATGTGGTGCCAATACATGGATGGAGCATGTGCAGAATTTTCATTTTTCATACACTCAGTTAAATAGGACTATTTTCAGACTTTTTTTAAAGACAACACTGAAGAAGCTTTGAAGGTGGCAGGCTGTTATCCATCACACAGTTAGAAAGATACAATATAAGGATGAACCGACAAGTGAGATCTTTTCGTGAGACTGAAGGCCTAGCTTCAGAGGTCACTGCTCTCCATTTGCCAAATTCACCAATTTTCCTTCAAGCCCTGCTCAGTAACAGAACCATACGTTGTTCTGTGTCCCCACAAAAACTTCTCAGATTCTCCAGTAGAAGGAAGCCAGACTGAACAGAGGAACAGCATTCATCATCAGTAAAAAATAGAAAGGGCAGATTTTGGCAGAGATATCCCACCATCATGGAACCAAGTCTGTGTTTCTCATGGAATTGTACAGGAGCCAGAGCAACTTATCAGGCAGATTCTTACCTTTCCTGGTTGGGCATTTTCCCTCTTAGATTGTCACAGATGTCACAGATCTTCTGCTTCCTCTCCTCCATCAAAGCCAGCCTGTCACCCTCCAGGCTTAAGAGGTAGCGCCTCTCATAATCCTCCACATCCAGAAGGAGGCTGTATGTCTGCTTAGCAACAGAGAGGTTTCAGCGTGCTCATAGGAAACCCCACACTACAGATTATTCCAAGAATTACTGAGATTACCATTCTCTTCTCCAGGCAAAAGATCTGGAGAACACTATTTATCCTGTTGAAATAACTGGCTTGGATCCAGTGGTAATTTCTGCTGACAGAAGGGATTTTTCACCTGAAGAATGCAGCTTTCTCATCTCCTGTTTCCAACTACAAACCCAAATCCCCCTCCCGATACTGTTCCTGGGGGATAGAGGCCCAGCAGGAACCACAACAGGAGGAACTGCAGCAGGAAGGAAGAATCAGCAAAAAGCATACCCTGTTCCATCATTGGAAATCCTCTACTGGATGTAATCCAATATCTTCAAAAAGCTAATACTTAAAAGAAAACATTCAGAGAGTTCTTAAGTTAATCACTGTTTTAGAACATCCAGCATTTGTATCCACTGAGTCGCACCATTAATTTAAAACAACTAACAGTTCAGGATGCCAGGGGCAACCATACATATAGTTAAACCATCAGAAGAAAGTGATTTCAGCAGCAGCCTCTCTGCAATCTAAATCTAAGGAGACAGGAATGTGTACCCGTTGCCTATAGTATGCTTACAGCCTGGAACTGACTTCAGTTAAACTGCTGCACAGGGCTGGCAGCTCTCCTTGAAAAATGGCTGGATGGTTCTTCAAAGGAAGGAAGAATTTGCAAAGTGCGCTCACCTTCTCAATAGTAAACAGAGTCTGACGCCTCTTATCGCGAACCTGCTTCTCTTTTGTCTCCTGAGAGGACAAAGAAGGTAGGACATGCTAGGAAAGCTTTGCACAGCTCAGTAAAATAAAATAAAATCCTGCACTGCACTCTAGGCAAAGCAGAATCTAAGAAGGGTAGAGAAGACCAAGAACACAAGTGGAGAGGCAAGACAAAAGCAAAACCAGAATTGTGACAAGGAGACACTTGTGACCAGTTGGGGAACTCTGCCCAAGGAAACTTACATCTTCTTCACCTCGTAGTGTCACCACAGCATCAATCATTTTGCGGGGATTATTCACACTGGAGACGGTGAGCTTCCCCAGGGAGCCTTCAAACTGCACTGCAAGCATAAAGAATGAACCATGCAGGTAGAATTGCACAAGTCTAGTTCCCCAACTTATCCTACTGTTGAATCCTAATTTTCCTGCCCTCTCCAGTTTGGTTACAACTCCGGCAGCCACACAGTGCAACAACCCGGGCAGCAGCTGTGCTTGAGCGGCATCAGGGCCTACAGCCTTACAAGCCCTGCTGTTCCTTGCCAGGTCACGCTTGCCCTCCTTCTCCCCCCGCCTTCCTGCAGTGGTGTGATGGGTCCTCTATGGGGCAGAATCAGATGACAGACGTCCAGAGCAGAAGAATGGACTTCCACCTGCATATGGGTAAAGTCGCATTTTCAAATGCCCCCTCCCTTATATTAAAAGCCTCCTGGATGCAGAAAAGTAACATAGCTGGGAACAAATTCTCCCCGCTGCATTGTGATTCAAGTTGCAATGGATTTTTATTTGGTTTTGTTTTTTTACAACAGGAGACTACTCAAAGGGGGTGTTCCTTTACCTGCAGTGTAAGGCAGTCCAATTCATTCTGTCTCCTCATGCAGGTCAATGTGCACAGGGATGAAGGGCGCTTACCTGGCTTGTAGGCATGTTCTAGCTTGGCCACTTGGGGGGTGATTAGTTTGGTACGCTCTTTCCTAGGACCATCACCATGCATCTCCTCTGCTGCAGACATTTTTTCCAGCTTCTGAAAGTAATTCTAAGGCACAGAAGGGTGGTTAGAAACTCCGCAGCAGCTGTGATCCTTGATCAGTCTGCTCTCCCCGAAAAGAGAAGAGAGTAAGAAGTGCTACGGTATGGCCTTGTCAGTTTGGAGGAGAAAAGGAAATTCTTCAAGAGCTGCCCCCCCTCTTTTGTGCGGTTTCTTACTGCAGGATGCAGCTAGCATCAGGAAAAGGGTGTCTAACAACTCCAATCACTAATGCCTGTGGATTCTAGCATACACTTCCTCCCATATCTGCTCCCGATGGCTTACTGGAGGGTGCTGTTATTATGGGTGAAAAAGGATGTCTGACAGGCCCAGCTACTAGCAAACACTTGGGGCCTGATGATCAGCAAAAGCCTACTGAGGTATGTAAAGCACTAACCTGGTAATAGAAGTCATCCAGGTACGGATCAGTGCTCTGTAGCTGCATCATCTGGATCTTGGACACCCAGTCCTTTTCCCGCTGCAGCATGAGATTGGCATATGGGTCCTTTCGTATCCGCTCCTGGTGGCTATTCCGGTGGCTCCCTCGGTCCCCTGCTGAGCCGTTTAGACTTCGGTGCTGACTGGGAAAAAATAATTCCGGAACAAGTCAGTGGCCTGAGATTTAGAAAAAATTCTTGACAGAATCAAACTTTGACAGGGATGTGGAAAACATACCCTCAAAGCAAATCTCTACGTCATCTATAGTCTTACAGGTCTTGAAATCAGCCTTGGATCAAACAAATACATACTGGGCCAAAGCAGCAGAGCACGACGGAGGGGCTACATCTACTCTGAGCCAGCAAACTCCAACCCGATCAGCAACTTGCCCCACACTTAGAGATGTCACAGAGTCACTTGCCAGGATCGCTCTGCCTGAAGGGATCTTTCAGCCTCAAAAGACTGAGGCTAACAATAAAAGTTAAACCTATAAACAGGGAACAATGGTGAAAGCCATCTGGTGTGTGCTCAGCTTCCAATCAGAGGTATAATATCTCTAAAAAAGGAGGTTCTGTTTTCAGCAACCCTTGTGATAACCGCTGACAAAGCTAACTTTATGAAGTGGTATAGTCCCCTTAAAGCCATCTAAGTCAGTGGCCTCTGTTCTGCTTTGTAGTAATAAATTATGGAATCTATGAAGAAAGAATTCCTTCTCCTGGGCTATTCCACCCTACCTTTCTAACTAGAGTTAGAAATCCAGTACAGCCTCCAAGAAGAAGAGTAGGACCGATTTCCCACAAGCTGCTGCTCCGCTCTCGCTCTTCCCTTTGCCCCGATCGTACGTGTCAATTTCACACCATGTGCTGTGTGGCCGCATTTTGCCCCACAGCTTCGCCCGATTCCCCCCACATCTACTCAATCCTCAAAAAACAGGACTGAGTAGACGCGGGGGGAATCGGGTGAAGCTGTGGGGCAAAATGCAGCCACGCAGCACATGGTGTGAAATTGACACGTACGATCGGGGCAAAGGGAAGAGCGAAGCAGCAGCTTGTGGGAAATCGGTAGGTTTTTA